TGCTTTGCGGGAGAAAATTTCGCGCGCAGGCGTGGCCACGTCGGTGCGTACCACACGGCCATCATCCAACGGTTGCCCACATGCCCAAGGCGAAATCCGACCGTCCCTAACCTCCGGCTAGGTGCAGTGGATGCTGATGGTGTTGGGAATGTCGGCGTCGACCAGAAGGTCTTCATCGTGGTGCCACGCGGCAGTGTCTCCCGCCCTCGAACTACAGCGCTGCACCCAGCGTGGGACCACGCCACGTACCGCACGAAAGAGCCAGCGTGTGACACCCATGAAAGGCGCATCATGAGCGAAGCGCTTCAAGCAAGCAGCCATGCACGCCCGGTGGCACGTCGGTCACGGCGCCGCCGCACGAGCGTACATGCATAGCTGCGTCCTGCACAGGGGTTTGCGTGGAGCGCCAAGTGGAGCGGAGTCGCTCACGACCATAGCAGTCTGTGGCCCCAGTGAAGGTCGCTCATTCTGTCCTGCCATTCTGTGTGCGTTTCATCCGATAGCTGGCACTTAGACATTTTCCCCCGTTCCCTTGACGGCTCGCCCTTTTTTTTTCGGGACGCGGTACGTCGGCGTCGTCTGATTAGTCAGTCGTGGTGGACGACGTTTCGTAGTGCCGACCAGTCCGATAACGCCGACATAGAATCTGCACGTTGTAGTTCATCGACCTCTCCAAGCCGACTTCCCATCGCTAGGTCGCCGTATCATGGCAGGAGGACAGCCTCGCTCGACACCGCCGCAATCCAACCCACCACCCGCCGACGTCGACATGACGGACGTTCCTAACCCTGCTAACCACGGTGGTTATGTCCGCCCGGTAGACCGTACACCGACCAGTAACCCCTCGTCGACGCTGCCCCTGCTTTACGATCTCGATGCGCTGGCATCCCCAAATCCCGAAGGGAGAGTTCACCGAGGGCATTCCACCCGCGCCCATAGGGGAGTTCACGAAAGCACGCAAAGAAACGTCGGCACCGACGAATGCAGGGGGGGCCGGGCCGTCGTCGGTGCCGGACGGATCGGGAGACCAGGAGGAGAGAATTGAAGATTATTCCTCGTCGAGCGACGAGGACGACGAAGACGACCCGCGGCCCCGACGTGGCTCTGGTCCGCGCACGTTGGAAGAAAAGCTCAGGGGGGAACGTGCGCTGATTGAGGAACTTCTGGACGAGGACGAGCTCGAGGATCTGATGAACACGTCGGTCCCTCGAGAACAGTGGAAGGCGGCCGACTTCGTAGAGGAAGATATGGTGTACGCGTGCGTCGACGTGCTCGTGATGGAGGCATTGCGCCACCTGAAAACCATAGAGGGTAAGAGCACGCTCCAGTCCTACACGTCATGGATCTACGACTACAAGAGATGGGCGGCGAAGATGCTCAAAGAGATAGGCGACAAGCTGCCGATCGGGGAACGAACTAGGCACGTCGACGAGATCGGGCACTGGATCCACTGCAACAAGAGCAAGGATTGGGACAACCCGAAGGTGGTCAAACGGAAGCACATCTGGCTGCACGGCCCCCGGGTCACTGTGACGCGGCTGCGCGCCTACGTCAAGTTCATGAGGCGGGAGTTCAAGATCGACGCCGAGACGAACGCGCCAGTGCAAGCGTCCTACACGGTGCACATGATCCTCGGCCGCATCAAGGCATGCCAGATGGCGGCGAGGGTGGAAGCGACGCTGTACAAGGAGAAGGAGTTGGGCATCATGCGGGAAATCTCGGTTGTCCGGTCGGAGGTGCGGGTCATGGTCCGCACCAAAAACCAGAGGGACATCAAGTAAGTTGGCATACAGCGCCGTGTTATATCGGCATCGATTTGTGCCCCTCGCCCTAATTAACATACCACAGTAATTGCGCCGACCGTCGACGCGGCACCATCGGCGACACATACACCGCCGAACAGTTCCGCCAGATCATGACGAGGGTGCTGCCGGCTTGGGCGGCGTCGGCATGGAGCCCGCATTTCACCACTCCTTCGCAGACGCTGTGGAGGTTTCTTCTCGTCAAGGTGCTCACGCTGCTCTCCCACCACAGCCTCATGCGCGGTGCAAGCATCCGCGAGATCACGCTCCCCGACATCTTCTTGTACCGACTGGCGAGCACCTCGTCGGTGAACCCGGATAACCAGCCGGTCGTCATGGTGGTCGCCGCGCGGAACTCGAAGACGTCGAAGGATGCGCGTCTTCAGCAGAGCTACGCGGCGCGGCACCTCGAAGCGGAATTGTGCGCCGTCGGCGAGACCGGACTGTGGCTACACTTCATCCTCGACCAGATCGGCCAGTTTCACGGCGTCGACCTCATTCCGCCGGTCGACACCAGCACACGCGAGCGCTGGTACAAGAAGCACCTGTTCTTCGCCAAAAACGACACCGACCAGGGGGAGCTCTCAGCTGCCAGCCACCAGCGATGGACGAGGCAGATGTGGAAGACGAACGGGGTGTTCTGCAAGCGGAACGTCCATGCCGCTCGGGCAGGCGGGGCGCAGGAGCTGGCCATCAACGGTACGCCTCGCGCCGAGATAGCCGAGCTGGGTCACTGGGCTCTCGACAAGATGACTCGAGCCTACATCACAGCCATTCCCGTCGGCGTGGTGATGAAGAAGGCCGGCTATTCGGGTTTCACGCAGGACTACTTCTTGGGACGCAGCAGGGTGGAACCGTCGGACGAACTTCTCGATCTCATCGCCGAGCACATCTTCCCCGGCGTGGACGAGCTCCTCAAGAATGTATGTTTATCGGTACCGACCAAGCCTCGCATGGCACTGTCCTTTCCACCACGGTAATTACCCACGTCTGTTGTCTAATTGCAGGCGGAAGAACTCGCGAAGAAGGGGTCCGACGCCGACGTTGCGGCCATGCATTTCTGGCGCACCCTCCTGATGTTCCGCCGCATTGTCGCCGAGGACCTCGCTGTGAAACTCGTCCGCACGCCTTGGCACCCGTACGTCCAGTATTCCAAGCTCTGCCGGATTCCCCTCTTCCAGCACTGGGCGCAGAGGGTCGAGAAGGCCGACACCGACACCATAAAAAAGCGGCAAGACCCAACCCTCATCCAGCCAGAGGTGAGTCATCCTTTATGTCGACGTCGGCATGTGCGCAGTGACAGCTACAACCCCTCTCATGCACCGTTATTCGCCTACCATTGCAGGAAATATCGGTCCGTCATGCCGCCCAGTACGCGGTCGTCTCCCTCACAACGACGCTGAAGCTCGAGAGGGAGCGGTCAGCGGTCGAGAAGATCGACCTCCAGGAGAAGCTCCAGCAGCGCGACGCAACCATTGCGTCGCTCACGGCCGAGATAACCCGCCTCACCGAGGCTCTCCGCGTTTCAGAAGCTCGTAGGATGCCGGAGGCGCCGCCAGCTGCGAACGATCAGTCGCCGAGCGACGGTGGCTCCGCGGAGTCGGCAAGCAGGGGTGACGGAGCCAAGAAACCCAAAAAACCCCCACAGACGGTCGAGGAGGCTAGCTACGAGCTGAACATGGTGCAGCCTTGGCGGAATGCAACGACCGTGAGGGACGCGTGGCGCCTCTGGACCTCGTGCACCAGCACCTGTCGAAATAGTAGGTATAGTAAGAGGCCATAGCTAGGGATGACCTAGCTAGGCAAGAGAGAATGAAGCAAAGGAAGGAGTTTGCACTAGCAAGGATGGGATACAAATAGCAAACCCTAGAAGGGTTGTACTCGCTATAGAGCACCCCACTGCAGGCTAGAGCATAATATTCTGACACACCCCCATAGCCAAAGTGGGGTGTAATCAGCAGAACAAGCAAGCAGTACAAGCTCAGGGTGGATCACAATGTCACCACACATTCTGAGCACAAGTTCAAAAGGCAATAGTTTAAAGTTCACAATAATGGGTAAAGCTAAAGCTGTCACAGAGGGCAAGCGAGGAGGAGGAGGGCTGGCGAGAGGAGAGAAGAGTGGAGACGACGACTGAAGCTGCAGACACACGGGCAACAGACGGCACTGGTGCAACTCTAGTGGCTACCGGACGCAGAGCCCCGGAATACAGGGGTAATATCCGCTGCAGAGGGTGCAGCGGACCCACGGGCGACAGGTGCAGCCGGCTCTCTGAGCTACCGGAGGTCCGCGGAACCCCGGAATACAGGTGCTGCGAACGACACGACGGCAACCTCCGCTCAACCTCCTCCAACTGGCCACCCACAGGCCTGGCACAGCCGCCCGAACCGCGCGCAGGCGGCCCGAGCCGCGCGCGGGCCTGGCGCTTCCCGTACGGGCCGCGCGCGGGCCTGGCGCAGCCCGTACGGGCCGCGCGCGGGCCTGGCGCAGCCCGTACGGGCCGCGCGCGGGCCTGGCGCAGCCCGTACGGGCCGCGCGCGGGCCTGGCGCAGCCCGTACGGGCCGCGCGCAGGCCACGACGGGCGACGGGAGGCGAGTCGACGGTGGGGGGGTGCGCGCGGGTCCCCGGAGGCGACGCGAGGGTCGACGGGGGCGACGCGACGTGCAGGGTGGGGGCCGCGAGTGCTCCCCAGGGCGCCGCGACGGACGGGCGGGGTGCGCGCGGGCTCCCCCACGGCTGGAAACCGCCGCGCGCCTCGGCGCGCACGGCGGGCAGGGAACCGCCGCGCGCCCCGAGCGCGCGGCGGGATGAAAAATTGAAGGCCGCGCGCCACGGGGCGCGCGGCACAGAGTAGGGCAGCGGAAGCAGTAGTGGGGCCCACAGGCCAAGAGCGTAACCGCTCTGATACCATGTCGAAATAGTAGGTATAGTAAGAGGCCATAGCTAGGGATGACCTAGCTAGGCAAGAGAGAATGAAGCAAAGGAAGGAGTTTGCACTAGCAAGGATGGGATACAAATAGCAAACCCTAGAAGGGTTGTACTCGCTATAGAGCACCCCACTGCAGGCTAGAGCATAATATTCTGACAGCGCCGACACCCGTCGTCTGTGCGACAGGTTCTTCGAGCCGGGATTCGTCGACCGCCACACCCTCCTCGACGGAGCCTCGCAGGGAGCACACGGGACGAGGGTGCGCCGCATGATGAAGATAATGGATGCCGTGCGCCAGCTTCGCAAGAGCGACGGCGAAGCCGACACCGAAGCCGTCGTCGACGCGCTTAACACGATAGCGGCGCCTGGCATTGGGACCTTCTCGGATGCCCTCACGGTGCTCAACGCGGGCAACAAACCGACCTATGCCGGGCAGGGTAAGGGCGTCAAGGGGCTCGGCAAGACGGAATTTGCCAAGCTTCGTCTCGCCAGTGCGCTCGTGGCGCGCGGGTTCAAGCCGGAGAAGTTTGTCGCCGGCCTGTTCCCGGACACATGGGAGGAGGGGATGAAGAAGGCGTTGGCCGACCTGGCCCGCGGAAATGACGCCGGGAAGCTGCCTCCGACCAAGAAGTCGACCAAGCGCAAGAAGACCGCGTGAATGCTCACAAGCAACATGCGATTGTGGGCTGTTGCATGTTGTAGATGATGTTGTTACAGCATGCATGTGTTTCGTACTTATACAGTTGTCGACTTTGAGTTTCTCACAATGCTCATGTGGTAGTTCTAACATAGTTAGTCACGTGTCGGCCTGGTATCCTTCGTGATGTGACAAGATACTGGTTCAAATGTTCATTACACATCCTACATAAAGTCGACATGCACTCACACAAGGAAACGCAAAAAACCAGCATCAAAGGGGTCCGACAGCCGAAACACACAAAACGAGATCGACCATAGCAGCATCAAATCCAAGCAACAATGAATCCAAGCTAGCAGTAGGCATAGCGCTACATATGCCCCTCCCCGACTACGCCGACTCCTTCGCCTTCTGGCCCTTCGTCCCCTTCTTCTCCGTGCCGCCCTTGGCCTTCGTCGCCTTCTTGCCCCTCTGACCCTTTCTCCCCCTGTTGTCGATATCGGCCTTCATCTGCGCGTCAATCGGCACCGCGATGCCCCTCGCTTTGAGTTTCGGCCCGGCGACGGGGCACATTCCCCAGAACGCCATCGTCTCGACCGTCGCTCTTGCGATCACGTCGGCATCGACTCCGGCATCCACCCCCAGATAGGCCCTGTCAAGGGCGGTCCTCTTGAGTGCTGGCGCGACGTTGTAAGCAACCTCTCCCAGGGGGCGGTCCCTGTTGATCTCGGCGTTCAGCACCGCCTCCATGACTTTGCCGAATACATCGGCGGTCGCCTGGCTCGCTCCGCCCACAAGCGCCGCCGCCTTCCCTTCTTCCACAGCATCCTCCACCTGGGCATCGCCGTTCTCGACGAAGCACCATACAGTGCATGCGGATGCTCCTAACGCCCATGCCGCCATATCCGTCTTCTCGTCGCTGTCTCCCTCCTTTCTCGCCGCTGTCGCAGCGGTCTTCCCATACGCAGCGCACATTGACACGCGGCCAATCAACGCGGACAGCATGGACGCCGACTTCTCTCGGCCTTCCTCGGTGTCGGGATCGACTGGGTACCATATCGCTGGCAGGAGCGCGGCGTGCAGCGCATCGCCAGTGGTCTTGTAATGTCGATACTTGTCGAGGATCTCATTCAGCCTGTCACGCCAGCACAACAAACAGGGCGAACATTAGTGACCACCACAACGACATCGACTTTGGGTAGGAGGATTGCCGACTTACCGTGTCTTTGGAAGGAGCGTTCCCCGGGCCCACATCACCGTCCACATCCCGGTCGGCAAGATCCTGACCTCCTCCCACACCTCCTTCCACCTCTCCAACTCGGCGCTGTCCAGGACGGTGAGCTCGTTCATGAGCACCTTGCTCACGAAACCGTCGTAGACGACGAACGCGATGGAGTGCACGTACGCGAGCTCCATCTTCTCACGCGACTTGCCGATGTATCGATTGATGCCGTGCACCTTAATCTCGCCGACCCACCCTAGCTTGTCGCCCGAGGTATCGTGTCGGATGCCATGACCCCGCCTCTCCTTGCTCTTCCCCTCCTCCTCCTCCTCCTCCTCCTCCTCCACCTCGACCTCCTCCTCCTCATCGTCCTCATCCGCCTCCTCCACCTCCTCCTCCGCCTCTTCTTCTTCCTCCTGCTCGACGTCCTCCACCTCCTCGACATCCTCCTCCGCCGCCTTCCGCTTTCCCTTTCTCCCTTTCGACGAACCATCGCCGACCGCCTTCTCCTTCCCCTTTCTCCCTGTCGACGCACCTTCTCCTACCGAATTGTCCTTCCCCTTCCTCCCCGTCGACGTACCCTCGCCGAGCGACTTCTGATTCTCCCCCGCTTTCCCTTTCACCCCCGTATTGCCGCCTCCATCCTTGTCAGCCGCCGTCTCAGCCGCCTTCCCCTTCCCTCTATCCGCCGCCTTCGCCTCCGACTTCTCCCGCGTCTTCCTCTGTGAGCCCGCCTTCCCCTTCCGTTTCGCCTTTCCATCGCCGACAGCATCACCGGTCGCAGTCGGCTCTGCTGGACTGCCGACGAGACCCGCCGAAGGCTCCACATGTGCCGTGTCGGAGATGGCCAGCGGTCGGGGATTGGCAGCATCCAGGTGGGCCTGTATGGCAGCGATATCAGCATCGGGGGGCGCCTGCTCGACGGGGCCGCCGCCGGTGGCAAGGGCGGCACGAACGCCCTTCTCCGCCGCCTTCTCAACCTCAGCTGCCACAGGGGTGGGTGGTGCGACTTTTGCCGACGACGTCTTAGCGCCGGAGGCAGAAGCCTGCTGAGTTGGCGCAGTCGACGCTAGTGCGCCCAGCTGGGCGCGCAGCAACGCGGACTTTGGGTCTGCAGGAGCACGGGCGGCGACGACCGGCGACTTTGGGACACTGGCAGATGGGGCGTCGACAGCAGCGGGGGGCTGTTGAACAGCCTTGTGGCCGGCTAGGCGCCTGAGCTGCTCCTTGAGCGCGTCCGCAACTGCCGCCCCTTTCCCCGCGCGGCCAGCCTTGTCGGCAGCCGGGACGTCGGCAGAGCGCGGGACGTCGGCAGGTCGCCCGGCAGACGGTCCGGTCGGAGGGCGTGCACCAGCTGGGGGCTGGTGAGGAACCGCTGACGCCACCGCGACCCCTGTCTTCGGGCCCTGGCCAGCTGGGGCCGTTTTTGCGGCCGCCTTCTCCTTGTCGCGCAGCCCTTCTTCACCGCTACCCTGTCGTGGTGGCTTATCGGCGACCGAAGGCGGAGCCCTTGGCAGTGCGTCATCAGTGGCATGCTCGTCGGCGGGACCCCCACCACCCTGATCAGTGCTGGCCGCTCGAACCCCAGCCCAGTGCTTCTTGAGCATGTCGAGCACGCTCTTCCCCGACTGCTTCCCCGAACTGCCTTCCCCGGCTCCCTTGCTCCCATCGCCGGCGACGCGAGAACCAACCGCTCCCTTGGTCTGCCTCGCGCTCGCCGAATCGTCTCCGTCCCCCCCCCCCCCCCCCTCCTTCTCCGGCCTTCTTGCTACCGTCGCCGGCGACGCGAGAACCCCCCGCTCCCTTGCTCCGCTTCGTGCTCCCCGCGTCGTCTCCGTCGCCCCCCCCGCCGCCTGCCCCCCTCTTCAGACCCTGCTTCGTGGCCTCCATAGGTTGCGCATGGCCGGCGTCGTTGGCCGACGGCGACGACCCACGCCGAGCTTGGGTCGCCACAGTGCCGACCATCTCGGTCATTATCTTCAAACCGGAGGCGAGGAAAGACTGCTGCGTGACCTCCGTCACCGCCTTCAGCAGATCCTCCTTGAATGAATTCAGGAACTCTTCCGGCAAGGCCTGCGCTGGGGTGGTCGGCGGCGGCGGCTGCACGACGAGGCGGGGAGACACGGCGGCTGCAATGTTGGTCTGCGCGGCGCCGATGTATTTTATGAACGTCTCCTCCAAAGCCTTCCTCGCCTCACCCACCTCACCCGTCACGTGGTCGGCCAATTGGTCCACCGCGGTCGCTCGAGCGACCGCCATTCGTCCGTTGGGGGCGTCAATATCCAGCAGCATCTGCCTCGCTAGCTCGGCAAACCTCTTGCCCGATTCAACTGCGTTCTCCAGGTTGCTGGTGAGGTCCTCGGTGATTGTGGCCGCCATGGTCGACGTGGCCTCTTTGAGGCGCTCCACCGATTTCCGGTCGGTGTCCGCAACCTGGGCGGTCAATGCCGTGAGCTTGTCGAGGATCCCAGCTACCGCCGCCGCCAAGCAGTCGACCCGCCCCGCCTGATCACCGAGCTGCCGTTGCAAGCGTGCATTGTCGGCACGCAATTGTCGGTTCTCCGCACGCAGCTGCTCGACGACGTCCGGCATCGCCTGCCGACCAACTGCGGTGGAACTTGGATGACCGCTCACCGCCTTCTTTTTCCTGGACCGCTCCCCCCCGGCCTTCTCTGCGGTAGCATCGGTATGCATTTCCACGCCCGTCTGCTTCGTCGCCGCGGCGAAATCCCCATCTTCGTCGGCCTCGAGGTCGACAACTTCCTTCCCTTCGCCGACAACGACCATCCCACTCCCCCCGTGAGCCGCCTCCTCGCCGACCTCGTTGCTGAGTTCCGCTGTCGCCCCCTTCCCCTCTCCTTCGATTTCCGCCGATCTCCCACCCGTTTCCGCCGCTCCTTCTGCAACGTTCCCCTCCGCCATTTCCACGTCCACCTCTTCGTCATGCTGCTCCTCTTGCTGCTCGTGGTGCTGCCTCTCGTGCTCCTGCTTCTTCTGCTCCTGCTGCTCCTGCTCCTCCACCGACTCCGACACCGACTCCGACTCCGACTCCGACTCCGACTCCTCCGAGCCCCCCTCATCCTCACGATCCGCCTCACGACCCTGGACCCCATCATCATCCCCATGAACAACCTCGTCCTGGTGCTTCTCCTCGGTCCCCGTCACCCCCTTTCCTGCGGCCGCATCGGCCTCGTCGACGCCGCCACCCGGCTTCCCGACCGAGGCGCCACGCGCATCAGCGATGGTGGGGGCGACACCGCCAGCTTGGGGCGCCGACTGAACCTCCTCGCCGTCGTCGTCACAGACGTCGGCCGCAACTACGTTTCGGCCCGACCGTATGAGCGCGACCTGCTTCTTGATGAAGGCTACCATCTCGGTGCGCAGCCCCTTCAACCCCGCAACAGCGACCTTGTCCATGCTGGTGGCACTGCGACGGAGGGCGCCGGCCAACTGATCCTTCCGCCTCACCGCCCAGAGCAACGCGCTCATTGCTAGCAGGCCGGAGCCCGCGTCCCCGTCCCGGACGGTGTCGGGCACTTTCTGCATACAACAGAGGAGCGCGCTAATATGAGCACCGAGATCGGCAGTCGCATCTCGCAAGGACGAATTGGCAGTTGCATCGCGCATGGAAGTGACACCAATCGTTCGAAACTCACATCTCGAAGGGGTTCGTCGCAGTCGGCGAGCCTCGCATGCACCTCCTCCTCGGACGGCTTCGCCCAGTCCCATTTCCTACCTTCGCGCCGAAGCTCGGCCATTACAGCCGCCCGGAAAAACCTGCAAAGCATGGCACAGACGG